CAAGGGGGTATTTTTTTTTTGCTGAAGCGGGGGAATGTGTGCTGAGTAAAAAAAAAAAAAAAAAAAATCATTGCTCACTACCCCCCCCCCCCCTCTGAGCGAAATATCGGTCGGCGCGGGTTTCAAATTTTGAGGTGCACAAAAGAAAAATTAATTGCTCACTACCAACCCCCCCCCCCCCCACCCCACTGAGCGAAATATCGGTCGGCGCGATTTTCTATTTTCAAACACCCTCCTTGAAAAAATCGTGCGTTCGCAACTGCTACCCCTTCACAGGTTTTTGAAGTTTTGTTGTAATACAAAATTACATTCTTTAGCATAATTATAGAATAAAATCAAGCAATATACTGCTTTCACAATTCACTTTTACTGCTTTGCCAGTATTTAGAGTGCAGTCCGAAGGGTTGTAAATAGTAAGTAGGCAGGAAGCGACTTTTTAAAAGAGCAAGCTGAATAATAATTTGTTTAGCATTGATCTTTTTCCGTAAACTCTTAATCTTGTAAACATACAGTGTAAACTGTGCTTACGTGTTACCAACAGAATACATATATTCTACAATATTTACTTGAAGGATATTATGCGAGGGAGCGTAGCGACCGAGCGAGAAGATTTTTTACATTTTTTTTAGCCTAAACGCTGCACTCTTGGGCACTCCAGAGCATAAAAGTGTGTTGCAGTCTTTTGTCAGTATTTGCTATACAGTTTTTTGTGTGCACTTTTTCAAATTTTCTGAGGGGGTGTTCCTCTCTAAGAAAAATTGAGGGGGACGTGTCGCACGCCCCCTCCCTCCCCCCCCCCCCCCCCCCCTCTGTGTTCGCCGCCCCTGACTCGCACATTTCACGTCCAATTGCAGAACGCCCTAGCTGTGTCCAAGGGAATAGATCCTCGGAAGGTGGGGCATCTCGCAAAAGACATGAGGATATATGTGCACAACATCCTCATCGCGAGCGTGCAGTTTGTGACATGCTGTCGTGTGAAAAAACTCCATGGGTGCATTGTGACGTTTGTGGACGTTGGCTCCACCTACTTTGTGTTTTGCTCAAAAAGTATCCACAAAAAAGGACTATGTATGCCCTATTTGTGAAGCGACATATCAGTAAACCTCAATTTTAGGCCACAGTCCATGGGCCAGTACCCAAATGTTTACATTTCGGTCTCTTCTCTAAATTGCCCCCCCACACTCTCCCCAAAGAAAAAGTATTTTCAAATTCTTACATGTATGCACAATATATATTTAATTCAATTCTGATCAACTCAATTTTTTTTTATTCATCAAAATTCACAAGAGTACATGGAGAAAACAATTGGTCACACATTGTACAAACACGAAATATATATTTGAGAAACTATATCGTTGTGTTTATAAAACATAGACAAGATAGAAATATTCATATATTCTAGTATTATACATTGAAAATGATGAAAAGGATAGAACATCAGTGTAAAGGAGTAAAGAAAGGAGGGAAGGAAAACCACACCAAGCGGATACTTCGGCCCAAATGCTCTTCGCTCCATTTGATTGTACAAACGAATGTATGGAACATAATGAGCCCAAATATCGGCCTGTCCGACATTTGAATGAGCGCATTCTCCTTCCTTACCGTAATAATTCATAAAAGTAATTAAGATTGTGATTCTTATTTGCAATGATGTGCTCAGCTTTTTGGAGGATTCGTGCCTTGCATTTTTTTGTTTCGCTTTTTTTTTTATTTTCCTCGCCCTCTTAACTACACCTTCCATTTTTCTAAAGTCATCCTTCCTCAATGCCCCAAACCAAACAACACAATTGAAGAAAAAAAATACTCTCGACAATGGATTACTTTCGTTTTGGACTGATTAAGTTGAAGGTAATTATCATCAAACCATTTAACAAACTACTCTATATTTGAACGATAGTTATTTTCATCACCTATGATCATCCCCAACATTGCAGGTGTCATCTGCATATTCGAAAAAGCGAACATCGTCATTACTAGACATGCTATCATTAGTATACAAAATATATAAAAGAGCAGAAAGTACACATCCTTGAGGGCCACCGGTATCGATAGATGTTGAATTAGATCAAAGCTTTTACACTCACGCGCGTAGCCGGGGGGGGGGGGGGGGGTCCCTACCCCCCCCCCCCCCAAAAAAAAAAAAGAGAGAAAGAAGAGGGAGAAAAAAGAAAGAGAGAGAAGAGCATACAAAAAAAGAAAGAGAGAGAAGAGAAGAAAGTAAGAGGACGTAAGAAGAAAAAGAAACATACATAGAAACACTTTTTTTAATTCAGACAAGGATTAAGAGTAGAGAACGGTACACGAATCATGTTAATGAAACATCAAATCTTCCGCGCCTCCCCCTCCCTTCACCCGTTCCCTAGGGAGCTCGCTTCGCGCGCTCTGTAAAGGCCCGGTCACACAGAGGGGACTCATGGGGAACGCACGGCCAGCGCATTGGAAATTTGCAATTTTGGCCAGTACGTTGTCGTGCGCCCAACTTTTGTCGAAGCTACAGCGAGCTGACACCAAATGCATAGCGTGTTGCTAGCGCGCTGAGCGCATACAGGGCACATACAGTGCGCATACAGACCGTACACAGAGCACACATGATAACAACTTCCACGCATGCACCGCGTTCTCAACAGAGGTGGTCACACATAGACGACGCACGGCCCGCGCATTGGAAATCGGAAAAGGCCGTGTGCCTAACTTTTGTCATCATTTTGGAAAAGCTAGCGAGCTGACACAAAATGCACAGCGTGTAGCTAGCGCGCTGTGCGTATACAGGGCGTGTGCTCCGCGTATGTCTGGCGCTGGTCTAGCGCGCTCCACGCATGTCTGGCGTGTCTTTGGCGTGTACATTCATGCGTCGAGCTTCGCGCACACTTTTGAGCATGCTCAAAAATCCCGACGCACACAGCGAATGTCGACGATGCATAGCGTGGGTCCAGCGCGCTCGACGAACGAGTAACGAATGATGACGCACGCCTAGCGAACGACAACGCAATGGCCAAAATTGCAAATTTCCAATGCGCTGGCCGTGCGTCCCCCATGCGTCCCCTCTGAATGACCGGGCCGTAAGTGATTGCTACCGACCCCTAAAATAAAATCCTAGCTACGCGCCTGCTTGCCCTTTAACTCTTTGAGTCCTGTCCGTAAGAAATTCTTTATCCACAAAATTAAAGAAGATGGTACGTTCATCCTAAGTAACTTTTGCAAGAGAATATGGGTCTGCATAGTATTACATGCTTATGACAAATCTGCGAACATGACCCTTGGATAGCATCCAAGTTTGGTCTGTTGTGCGATTTCTTGAATCAGTGTTATGGCGGCGTCATTCATGGACTTCTTAGGTTGATATGCGAATTAAAGTTTGCCGAGAAGATGGAATACCGATGGGGAGAGAAACTGCATCAGGAGTCTCTCAAAACACGCGATTGGTCGATAATCATTCAGCTTTAATAATAGACGCATGGTTTGTTTTCGGTACAGGAATCACAATCGCCGATTTCCAGGTGGCGGGAGACTTGGATTCATTCAAAGACTTACGAAAGTGGTGTTTTCATAATGATCATTGACATCCTTAAATTTATATTTATATCGAATACTTTAAAATACAACCGTACAACTAAGAGTGTAGGCAGGGGCGGCCGAGCGACTTCCAAAGTGGGGGGGGGGGCACCAACAAAAAAGGGCACTTTCTGGAAAAAAAAGGGCACTACAGTGGGAAATCTCAAAGCGAAAATATACAATTTTTTTTAGACATTGGTATATACCCCTACATTGTGATTACATTATCAGGGATGATTTCAATATTTTTTTCTCTTCATTCATCATACAAGATATCGCTTAAGCATCATACTTTACAGCTGGGTGTGATGTCTGAATATGCATTTACGAGCGAGCGAAGCGAGCGAGAAAATTTTAAAGATCTGTGAGGTCGCAGTGCGAAAAATTACACCTTATAAAGAGGAAAAAAGCCAATCGTGATGGGGTTATAAGCACATTCTCATAACGGAAGACCGAAAAGGCCTTTGATAAGTAACATAATTATATCATCTTTAAATGCAAGCGAGCGCAGCGATCGAATTTTCGGGGAAATTGCTCTTAGTCGCTTTAAATAAGGGGCACGTTTAATGATTACATGAAAAGGGGACAATTATCGAAAGGGATAATACACTTATTAGAAAAGAAAAGGAGCACGTGTCAAAGTATAAAGGATAATTATAAGAGGTAAAAATGAGGCATTTTTTCACCTGAAAAGAGGCACTCACCAGTGATGAAAAAGAGGCGTTTACGAAAATGGGAAATAGGCATTTGTTGACGGAAAAGGGGCACCCATCAGATTTTGATAGGGGCATTTATAAGAGGTGAAAATGGGATAGGTCCCTTATTAGAAAGGAAAAGGGGCACGTATCATTATTAAAAGGGGAATTATCAGAGTTGAAAAGGGGCACTGACCAGATATGAAAAGGGTCACTTATGAAAATATAAAAGGGGCACTTATAAGGAAAATGTGCATTATTTGAATAAAAAGGGGGCACCGTTCAGATTTTTAAAAGGGGCAGTTATGAGAAGGTGAAGGAGCTCTTTCTTTTTAATAGGGGGAACTTATCATAAGGAAAAGGGGCACTTATTAGAAAGGGAAAGTGGCATGAACGGCCTTCAATAGTTCAAGTCCAACTTAAGTCGATCTTAGTCTTTGTGAAACACTTCCCAGGTTTAATTTCAAATTTTGGGGCAAGGGGTTTAAATGGAAACAAATCTCCCAGCCCCACTTTCCCGGTTTCCCACCCGAAGCTGCTAAACAATATGTATACGTACTTTAGAAGACTAATAGCTATTGATTTCATATTCATTTTTTTTTTGTATATCAATAGTCATTCATTGTTTTACTCTTGATACAAAATTTACTCAGAAATATTTGTTTATCATAATGTATATCGCTGCAGAACATGTATTTCAATTCATGTCATGTTTATATATATATATATATATATATAGGTTATATTAAAATTGTCATTGTACATTGATAAATATGTTGTTTCAATGGTTTCAATGGTGGCGAATAAATACATTTAATTCAACTCCATTCTATTTAACCGTGGAGCTTTTTTAGCACATTACTACCTTTTAGAACTATGTAGCTGTTATTATACACTGTATCATAAGGAAAAGTGCTTTGTAGATCCATATATCATTAGTTCACGTGGTCGCCATTTTGTAAACCACTCCCTGTAATCGTTAATCATTGAGGTTCATGCTATCTGCTCCTTCCACCATCTCCTGAAACTCTGGTTCTACGTCACTAGGCTCCAATAGCTCCAGCCAATAGGAGAGCTTCTTTGATTTAGTCCAGCTGTGACTGTTGTCAAATCGTGCAACGTCTGTTAGAAAGAAGAATAGGATACTGAAAATTCACATGATGGCAGTCACCTGATATTTTCAACGAGTTTTACCACGTGACGTGAAGAAAGCATACTAGTGCCTACTGCCTGTTGCCCCTGTTGCACATGGAGCTTCATTATTTTTGACTGTTTTCAATCCACAGATCGGGGTAATTATACGCTGTGAATTGTTTTGGTCAATTATTTAACTGGAAAAGCTAAAACAGTTCTTATTAACGGTTGAAACCAAATGAAAGCATTTAGTGCATGTTCACTCGTAATTCGAAGCGATGTTGACATTGTTCATTCAGTGTTTATTCGTTGTACAACATTAATCTTACATGAGGTGTCAACAAACATCATTAGCCGATGATGAGTGCTAAGTCAGACAAAGTACACATCGTTTACAACGGGCTTACGTCATGCCGATCACCAGATATACGTTTTAACATATGATAAAAGCACCCAAATATATGACACGTTTTTTTTTTTCGTCTTTCTCTTTTTGCTCGATTTTTGTTTAAAATTGTGCCCCATCCCCACCCCAGAATCGTTCGTCCACTATTAAAAAATAATATTTCCATAAAACGTGTTATCTGATAAGTAATCCAAATATGTCCTACTAAAATTCTAAAAATTAGTTTTCGACAACAATTTCAGTAAATCCTACTTACATGTGCCAGGTTCAGCGATCATGATTTCTCCGTTCTCAGGTACCATGTGACTGTTGTACTTCTCCAGTTTCAAAATGGCAGTCTTCTTACCCTTCGCGTCCACGAGATCAAACCCAAATTTGATGTCACTGCAATCCGTCTGAAACTCATACCTATAACATTGATGATACGTCGAAATTAGAAGAAGTTTTATGTATCACTGGCCAATTTGTAAAAGGGGGCACAATAGTCAAGGGTGTCGATTTGTATCCGGGGTTGGGGGGGATGATTGGTGCCAAGATATTTTCGGCAATGGATCAAAGCAACCAAGAGGTAGAAGCGTGTGGCAGGTTGCACCCCCTCCTCAAGCGCGTAGCCAGGATTTCATTTTAGGGGGCGGTAGTGAGCACGCGAATCACTTACAGAGCGCGCGAAGCGCTGAAGCTTTGACGTTTCATTAAATTATTAGAGAAAGAAGACGATTCGTTGGACCGTTCTCGACTCTTAATCCTTGTTTGAATCAAGTTCCCCTGCGCGGAAGCTCTGACTTTTCATTAGATTATTAAAGAAAGAAGACGATTCGATGTACCATTCTCGACTCTTAATCCTTAATGTTTGAATCAAGTTCCCCTTCGTCCGCGCATAGCGCGGAAGCTCTGACGTTTCATTAGATTATTTAAGAAAGAAGACGATTCGATGTACCATTCTCGACTCTTAATCCTTGTCTGAATTCAGTTCTCACCCCCTCCCGTGCAAAGCGCGGAAGCTTTGACGTTTCATTAAATTATTAGAGAAAGAAGACGATTCGTTGTATCGTGTCCTTGTCTGAGTGCAATTCCCTCCCGCGCGAAGCGCGGAAGCTTTGACGTTTCAATAAATTATTACTCTTAATCCTTGTCTGTATTGATTTTCGCCAATCCAGCGCTAAGCGCGGGAGCTTTACCGTTTCATTAAATTATTAGAGAAGGAAGACGATTCGTTGTATCGTGTCCTTGTCTGAATTCAGTTTTCCCCTCCCGCGCGAAGCGCGGAAGCTTTGACGTTTAATTTGATTATTACTCTTAATCCACGTCTGAATTCATTTTCGCCCATCCCGCGGTATAGCGCGTAAGCTTTCACGTTTCATTAAATTATTAGAAAAAGAAGACGATTCGTTGTATCGTGTACTTTGACGTTTCATTTAATTATAACTCTTAATCCTAGTCTGAATTCAGTTGCCCCCCCCCCCCTCCCGCGCAAAGCGCGGAAGCTTTGCCGTTTCACTAAATTATTAGAGAAAGAAGACGATTCGTTGTACTGTTCTCTATTTTAATCCTTGTCTGAATTCAGTTTCCCCACATGATGTACGTATGGAACGTTCGTTCGCAAATCTTTGCATGCACAACCCGAGTGGTGGGTAGCATGTTATCTCCCGGCAGTGCTTGTCCCAATAGCTTCTGGAAAGGAATTGTTTACTACTGTTAGTGTTAACGGCCACTAATTAGGCCCATTAGTGACTATACAAAATATATGCTCTTCCTGGCTATTTGGGAATGTGTCAGTTTGCAACAGAAATGGAGAAACGCGAATTTTGTTGAAAATCATGTGATATCACGAACATTTATAAATCACTTGTATGAAATTGAAAATAAGTCATGATTGTATTTTATTTAGGGGGCCCCAAGCCCCCCCCCCCCACCAGTACGCCAGTGACATAGATCTACATCAGCTTTTCAATAAAACTAAAATAAGTTGTGACATAATAATCTTTCTCCAAAAATGAAAAATGTTTTAGGAAATATCAGGAAATAAAATGAGTGAAAAAAACACAAATAAAGATACAATGACATGAATTTGAACGGAAACAACATAACAACCAGTGAACTATCTTATAATTCATACTAATTAATGTCCGAAAATCTTTGTCCTTGTCTCCGATCTCATCACGAATTCGTCACAGAGTTCATCTATGTTTACACTCTCCAGGATTGTCTGATGTGCATTGCAGATTGCTACTTTTGCGCTTCGCGCTTAACATTTAGCTCGTTGTTTTTTAACGCTGCGTCGTTGCATTTGCCGCACTGCATTTCTATGATGCTGTTGTTTGAACAAATTGAATAAATTCATCGATTCCTGATGAAGCCGTATGAGCGAGAATTCAATTTATTCTTGTCTCATATACGGTTGTCTCATTTACTTCGTATATATGTATGTATTATGGAAATGAGATAGCAAAATGTGTACATTGATGGTCATCTTGTGAGTAATAACCATTTACTACTCTCATCGGGCTCTCATCATTAATTTTTCTCTTATTTTTTTTATTTTTTAGGGTGAATTATTGGGGGGGATGATTGTACAGGCCATCCCCCCCACCTGAAATATTGGGGGGGATATATCCCCCCCATCCCCCCCGGGATCGACACCCATGACAATAGTATAGAATAAGCTCACTTTTTGCATTTTGCTTATCAAAAATGTTCCTAAGTTTGGAGGAATAATTGTATTCTCAAAGCATCTGGGTTGCATACTTGTACCTGTGTTACGCAGCCAAATCGACTCCACACCGACAGATTATTGGTTCTTAGGGGCAATGTAATTAATTGCTAATTCGGTCTGATGACGGTCTTGTATCGTTTTCGTAATTGTGATTAGTGTATATGAGTGTAATGAACTATCAAAACTCATAGGTTTGTACCTCATGACGCTGTTGGCGTTCTTGACTTCATACTTGAATTCGATGACTCCCCCTCTTGACACTTCATGCGTTGTCAGTGTATGCGGCGGTTCACGGTCCTTTAGGTAGAATGACTTGGGAATTTTGCCACCCACTCTTATCTACACGAAAGAATAATAAGAGCTTCGATGTTGAATATGAAGCATAAAGGCCACATAATTACAGACAATATTAACTATTTATAACATTTCACTATGAAAATGGGAGACAAAAATACAGTTATCAGTTGCTCGATTCAAAACCATGAGAATGATTTTATAACTTCTGAAGCAGGAAATATGAGTAACGTATTGACTGTACATAGGTAGAGTAACATAACATGTTCGAAATGTAAATCACGACAATTCAAATCAATCCCATTTAAATAGTTGAATGAATACGCCCTCTGTTATTAGATCGTAGATCGTGTACATGCAAAGTTGATTATAAATCATCGGGGAAAATGGATTCCTGTATCAATTCGCACATGAAACATTAATTGAGAGCTATAAACATAAATAGACGTGTACAGGTCGTACACTTAGGTACTGTAAAAATATGCTTTTTATATTAAAGCAAAGTAGAGAAAATTTGTATAGTAGCTGCGCTATATGAATGGACATATTATTATTATTTATTATTAAAAGATTATTTTGAATCACCAGTGAAGTACACATCTCGTTTCCATCAGGATCTGTCTTGGTTCCTCCCCAGTAAACCGGTAGCTGATCGGGGTCTATTTGCTTCAACAAAACCTCCTTCCAATTACCTAGAAATGAAGCAGAAAACCATACTTATGTTACCCCCTTTTTTCCTACTGGTCGTAGCAAATTGAGCACTACGCTATACCTTCCCAAAATCGATCTTCGCCTGTCACAGTTTATGAAAGATATACACACTCCATTCTTACATTTTCATCTTATTCTACACCGTATTTTTGTAAACTAAGATTAAACACAATTCAGATTAAAAATTCAAAGCTGAGATTCTTACTTCCCAAAACCTGGATTTTCTTTCTGGTGTCCTCACGGAGGAAAGGCTTGACTAATGAATAGGTCACCGGGAAGATCTTGGGTGCTCGGATTATGAAGAGACGGTAGATCAACTCTGGATAATGCTGCTCAGCAATCACAGCAGTCTGTCATAGTTAAGAAAATACTTCATTATATAACTTTTTTCTTCTTCAACATTTCTATTTCTGTGTAAGCATGATTTAACGAGACAGGACAGTTTAACTTAGGTATTTGAGGCATTAAGCAATTGGATCCTGTAGCAAGTGGGAGTAGATCAGAAGCATATATATTGGCAAAATTTCATGTATAGGGAAAAGGAAGACAAATAAGCACAATTGTCATTTGGAGGGGGTGGGGTTCGAGGTGTCATGGAGTCCTCCCTCCTTTTTCCTCTCTCTTTCTCTGTTTTCATTTTTCCCTCCCTTAATTTTTCGCCATTTGATAGGGCGTGTCCCTAGTAGCTACGCCATTGGGAAGGTGCACATTTCCTATCAATGTGGGGGTAGACAACTGAGGATCAAAGCTTACCAAAGTGCACTACCTATGCACAGACTTGGTTTTGGAAGCACACATTGGTTTTTATCGTTAATCATCCCACCATGTTATGAACGTAGAAATATGCAATATAATTATGAAAACATATTATCAATAACAATTCATTCAGCAGACATGTTATTAACCAGGACACAATTTTGTATGGTAAAAGATGGTAACATTTGAATGCTTGCCTTGATGAACATATCAATAGCCGGTTTCCATAGATGATGTACTCCAAGGTTCTCCATGTCAAAGATCATCAAAGATCCCTCAGTATGCTTTAATCCTCTCTGAGATAATACAAACATGTTGGTAGTCAAGGGGACACGAATACACACAACATTTTAGATGAAGCTAACCTATAATCATAGTCACATTTGGATAACATTTAATACGACGTTTCAAAGCACTTTACAAGTGATCTTAATAATCATTACCTATGTTAATATAATCTCTGAGGTAATTTAGCGCATGCACCAGTAATTAAACAGTTATTAAAATGCAATGCTTGGACTATTCATTTCGCATTTGACTTTATACGATGCCACCCTCAGTCATTGACACAGTCTTGCGTTAATAAATTGTGTATACAACGGGCACAAGGGGTGATATTAGGAGTAGTTCTCATACCTGTTCAGAGAACCGCTTGTGACTCCTGAACTGGTATTCAATTGAATGGATGTAAGTCTTCAGAATGTCACTGGCCTTCGCCGAAAATAAGACCCCTTGAATAAAAAAAATTAAAAAATTAAAAGATATAAAAAATAATAATAATAATACAATATTTATATAGCGCATAATAAACATAAGTTTCTCTATGCGCTGTACAAGCATAATGACGAGAAGTATAATCACTTAAAAAGGAATCAGCACAGACAAAAAATAATGATATCTTTCCTTATTTTTACATGATTGTTTGTATTAATCAAAATGTAAGTTTAGATGCCAAAATATCTGTAGCCACTGACAGCGAAAATATAAACATAAATGAACGAAACATTGCTGTAAATTACACACACACACACACACACACACACACGCACACGTGCACGCACGCACGCGCGCACACACATACACATACCCACGAAACAAGAAGCATACGAAAAATAAGACTTATCCACTCGGTCAGAATACTAGCTAAAATTCATTTCTAGTTGTGCTCATTCCTCAGCTGTTCCTCAGCTGAGTTAAATTGTTTGGCAGAAATCAGTTAATTGTAGATTCTTGAACATTCAAATCAATTTTGATTGATTCTTGAAAGAAACATTGATGATTATCAAAATTCAAAATCGAATTTATCTCAATGAATACCTTTAGGATCAAAGTTTCCAACCGGTGATATGTAGATAGCATGACCCTCTTTATCCAATCCACACACTCCGCCGCACCAGTACTTCTCGAAAACCTGAAATGTAAAGTATTATGTCAATATTCTGCAAATATCGATCAAATCTATTATATCTTATTGTTGAAGAGAAATGTCCATCATGGTGAATACCATGTTTCAATATAATCTAAAAGTGCGGGGAAAACCAGAAATTCCATCCAAGAAAGTTATGAAATGCGATATATTAGACAAAAAGTAAACAATTCCCTTGTAAAAACAAAAATGTGTATTTGCAGGGGACACCCATACCCTTACCATCGGATGGCCAAAAAGGGTAGGGGAGATTTTATTTCAGTGCAGTACGAGAAAATACTCTTCAAAGCTTAGATGTTACTGACTTCCCAACTCTCACTCTGTTTTTCTCAAGATGAACATTTTCTCCATTGAACAAAAAGATAATGTTTAAATATGAGCAATGGGATTTTGTTAAGAGATATCCAAATTGCATTCATCTTTTGCTTTAATAAAAATTGTCCCTAATAAAAATGTTGTACGAGTTCTATCTGACTTTCTGAAGAACATATCAAACCTAAGAAAATATACAAGTTACCTAAATATTGCCTTTTGGCAAGATATTAATCTAAATTTGCGATACTCCAACCAAGTGAATTAAATGAGTACCCGGTAAGGTGATTGCAGGGCCCTCTGGGAGAGACAAATTTTTATTTTTATAATTATTGCTATTATTATTAGTATTATTATTATTATTATTATTATTATTATTATTATTATTATTATTATTATTATTATTAATATTAATATTATTACCTCTGGGATCTTGTACCAATCAAGAATGGTGCTGACCTTATTTTCTTCTCTCCACTTGATATCCTAAAACAAAAAAAGAAATTGAAAAGCTAAACGAAAATGATGTAACAGGTGGGCATTTCCTATGTGTACAATTATATGGTAACCAATGGTTAACTGTTTGCAAGCAAAAACAAAAACAAACAAACTAAAGATGATATTTTTTGTTGATGCTAGTCACTGGCTCATAAAGCATTAGTTTACGCTTGTACTTTGACAACTAGACATATTTATATGGCAATGACAGAGATGATTAAAGAAAATATTCATGTTTTAATGTGAATGAACATTATTTTACATGACTTTTGATAGTACTAACTCACCATCCTTAACATCTTCTCTGTCCTTTTCAGGTCAAATTTTCTTGCTGTTAGGGAGTAAAACATAAATTTGATCATTTTGGTACTGTTAAGAGTAACTGGAGCGAACCCCCCTTAAGTTTTTACATTTTGATTTTGTTTTGTAAGGGTAAAGGCATTGCACTTTCCACTCAACAATGTTTGTTCGATCATGGGCTAGATGGGACTAGATAGCCCGACCGCCTAGTTTTTAAGGGGGGGTGGAGTTGGACGGGGTTCTGGGAACTATACCCGCCGGCTGTTAGACTGATCAAATTTTTGCGAAAAAATAGATGGTCTAGGTAAGTGTTATGAACATGCTTAGTGAAACACCTTCGGGATATACTCTCGGCCTATATGCTTACTACGACATCATCCGAATGTTAAGAGGGGAAAAGAAGGAAGGGATGAGGGGGGGGGGGAGGGTCGAGCATCAATCTATCAAATGCATGAATAATTGTTTAACGCTCCATACAACAGACACATAGTATATTCAAAGATAATTTACCATATTTACGGAGGCACAAATACTAATACGGTACTCTGCTGCAGCTCATTATGGTATATGTTAAAAATATTATTTTCACAACCTTTCTCAACCAGCAATTTCCCAACTTTTATGAAAGATGATTTACTTGCACTTTAATTACTATAATTGATCTTGACTTCTTAATGGGGTGGGGTGGGGGGGGGGGGGCACACTCTGCACTCCGCCTTCATATTCACATGCTTTAGGGGGAGGGGCGGGGCAATATACTTACCCCTAAGGAACTTCAAGAGTAAGACATCGTCATGCTCTGGCTTAAGAACGTCTGAAACATTTTCCTTGAACTGAGTGGAAAAAAAAGATGACAGGGAAACTAAGCTACGGCATTGTTCGTGACAACTTCAAACATTTAACTCATTTTATCAATACAACACAGCGTATGATTCTGGGATTCGATTGTTTGTCTTAGCGAGCTGAACTTTTCATTACAGGACATTGATTTTTTCGAAGCTCGTATTGTTTTCTCTGCTTTAAAAAAATAATATTTTTTATGTATTTTGCTTCATTATTCGATAGCATCAATAGACTTAGAATTTGAATTTGAAACCATAAATGCACTCTAAGTGGACCTTTAACCGAACGAAGGTGCATTAAATGTATTTATGTGATGATAATAACAAGGCATGTTTATGATACAGTGTAATGAAGAAAAAAAAAGATTCTTTACCTTTCTTAATTTCTCCTTCTGGCTATCTGAAAGGTTACCCGGGAAGCCGCTCATATTGACCTTGAAAATGGCAACACTTCGTAGGGTTACGGAAAGCTTTGACGACTAGGCTCACTTCCTTCAAATCCTCTTCTCATGTATACACTTTGTATTTGCATGTGGACGCTTGGATCACAGACAGCTTACCATTTCAAATGCATTTACCATCAATTACTCTACGATCCACTTTTTATAAAACTCTTAACTACAGGATCGAAAAACATGGAAGCAGAGAGAAGCAAGACCGGGTACTTTTTGGAGGTGTGTTGCGATGCACTTCTTATCATAAACTATCATTAAAATCTTACAATCTGGTGCTCCTGTACTCTAGGGCTTCATATATATTTACCATAACGTCAGATTACGCGAACTCGTATCTGTAATTATCGTACGCCAGATGTAATTATAACTGATGGAGGAGGTCAAAGTCCATCACAGAGGACTGCTCTTCACGCCTAACACATCGAAGGGAGGAAAATAAGCAACGAAGTTCAAAACAAGTGGGGTGAAAGATTTCAATCTCGGAGATATCGGAATGATTTGTGTCCTGCAGGGGCGAAGCTAGTCTATTTTGGAAAGGGAGGGGTTCCAGACCCAATGTGTTACATTTGCAACATCATCAAGCATTTTCCAACAGAACATTTAAAGAAAATACATACATAAAGAAAGAAAGACAAATTAGTTTTGCATATTACTGACAAGGCTCTAAGGGTATGTCCTGAAAAGGGGGGGGGGGTGCACATCCCTGAATCGCCCCTTCACCCTTTAACCCTCCATAACACAGACACCTCTGGGGCTCTATGGTTGACTCTGATGCCACGCATATCGTTCTTGATATCGCCCCCTCTTATTATTATGTTTTGTTGATATCCTCTGAAAAAAGGTGTATGAGGTAACTGGCCAAAGGTATAGGTCTAATGCACTTCATTAAGTTACACATAAAAACAGCTGTACAATCACAAGTAGTGGCGCAACTATTGGGGGACGTGTCCTCCTCCCTCCCCCCTTCCCACATCGGATGGCGAATTTAAAAAAACGAGAAAGAGGAGAAAGATAGAGAAGAAGAAAGAGGAGAAAGGGAATTAAACGTGAACAAGAAAATGATAGGACCCATACACTCCCTTCCCTATGTTGTGGCCTTGTTCATTTTTCTTTCATCCACCTGGTAATATGAAAAATGCACCCTGATGTTGGTGCACCATACAAGCAACTAAGCAATTCCACTATTCATTAACCAAATTGTCCATTACTTATGTTTCTTTTCAGTATCATAATCATATTAATTCGTCAATTAGTATACTGATTTAAACAAAGGGGCGTATCCAGAACTTTGTTAAGAAGGGGTAGGAGGATCTATTTCAGATATTTCTATCAAGAAAAGCATATAAAAAGAGAATATTGGTCTCCTCATGGATAGTCTCCCCAAGTTTGTTTTGGGTAAAAAAAAGAAATTGAAAAAAGGAGCACATATTCTGATTGGTTAAAGATATGGCGAATATCCCCATTAATACGAACATAAGTACACGATACAAAATGAATATATTAATGGGGATATTCGCCATTATTGGTTAAAGATATGGCGAATATCCCCATTAATACGAACATAAGTACACGATACAAAATGATTATCAACGTAGGTAAACGACTGCTACTTACCCTAAACTGAATTACAGTTATTTTAATGCTATGAGAAACTACATGCCTACCAAATAATATATGGTATTTCTATGAACCTCCTACCTCCTTCATCCCCCTCTCTCTTTCTTTCCCTCTTTTCTGTCTCTCTCAAAAATAAATATGAATAATTGTTTTGATATCAAACCCGGACAAAATAGGAATATCATAAATCAATCGAAAATCTATCATCTATCTAGACAGCGTAAAATGTGTACATTATGGGGGTATGTCATTCTGTGATGTTTGAGTCTTACATTCTTGTGTTATTATTTTTAATAAATCTTTTTCATTTACAATGTTTGATATTTCTGTTTTGGTATTTTCAATGATTTTATCGTTCCTGTAGTTATTTTAGATAGAAAAGCGTTATTCATTTGTGTTTTTTAATGTTGAATGTGCGATCTCTTATAATATTTCGTTGCTATAAAGGTTTTGCAGGTTAGTGTATTTTCCTTCCCTTAACCTTTGTTTTTATATTTATACAACTTATTTGAAATTTCCCAAGATTTTGATCTTTTTGATCCGTTAAGTAATAATTGTTTGTGTTTTATTATTTGTTCTCTAAGGTTGAATAATTTTATCAATTCTTATACCATCACTTTTGATGTTCTTTTATTTGAACTACATGTAGTCCGGCAGCCATCTCGATATACCTTGTTTTAGGGTCTATAGTTTTTTTTTCTTCGGATTATAGTTCCTTAGACCATCAATTTAAAGAATTCGATTGCTGACACTCTGTCAGCATTGAGCAATTTGAGATATGTGACGTCATACAAAATGGCCGCCAAAATCCCCCTTTTAACCAAAATTAATGATATAAAAAGTTTTAACAGCTTTTTACTACATTAAATGGCAGTCAAATATCTTGATTTTTTTCTAGAATCATCACTAAATAAAATTGCAATGCTGTATGATCACAAATGATATGCAAATTTGCATAATTCGGAATGGCGCCCTCTATAGACACATTAACTTGCATAGGTCAAAATGATGGCCAAATACCAATTTCTAAAATGAGATTATCCTATGTCATGAGTCAGATGCACTGAATACAGTGAGTAAAGATTGTGCTGCACATTTATTTTTATTTTGTAATTTGATACTCGAACAAAACACGGTTGAATTTTATGCTCTCTGTCCCATAGATATGAGGTGGCATATGGTGATAAATGCCCATTTTCAGTGACAGCGTTAAGAAACTAGATTTGTATTCTAAGGTACTAGATTCTTTTAAATTAACCTAAAAATTACGAACTGCCACTACGATACAGGACTATATCCGTTTATAAGTTTGCTTCAAAATCTTGAAATTTGTTTAAAAGCTCTCTAAAGTGTTGGGAACCCTAAAATATTCCATGTGGAAGAGGGTGTCATTTGACACTTAATTCTGCAAAGTAAGGTCGTGACTGTAATGCGTGCTTCCACACGCATGTTTGCAAATGAGTTCTCTTAACATTTTCTACAAACGCTTCAGTAGTTTGAGGTAGTGAGGCAAGGTTTGGGGGTATTTGGAGCTCCTAGTCTTCGGACCCTTGATAGCCACACGTTGATACGAGCCTCTGACATTCAGTTGGTTGTTGACTGTCCATAACATGAAGCAAAGCATTGAGTAGGTTGAGTGATGACATATGACCATGCTGCATCAACATTGCCAACTCAGTCCTAAATGAGTCGAATCTTCTGCTTCATCACTTTCAGCATTGTACCCCATCCAATGCCAAAGTATGCCCCAAGAGTGTCGCATCCCGTCAACGCATGTCCTGCCAACATCGATGGAATGATATCTCCTAACTTGTCTACATTGGCAGGAACATCAATAACAGTTCGATTTGTGAAGGGGCGTCTCCATGGTAATTGGCGTTTTATAAGTCCGTCATGTAGATAATGATGCAAAAGTAGTACGTAGACGTCTGTGTCATCCACTAGGACCCTAACATACATCTTCTCATTAGCATCAATTCCAATCGCTTGCTGTTCTTTGATGTTGCCTGCTTCATCATAACTATGTTGTGGACAGACCTTTCCTTGGCATGACATCACTGCCTGGAATCACTTCAACAAGAACCTCATCTTGACGGTAAAGGCCTGCTTGTGCTTTTGCCTATTTCTGAGCACCCAATCATCCTGCAGACTCGCGCATATAATTATGATGTCGATCAACTGTAGTTTGTTGTCATGAAAAGATAGTGAAGTTAGCAACACTAGAGACACGTTTTAACAACTTCTCTCCCTTGCTTTATTGATCTTTCCAAAGCTTTTGACTGCGTACAACATAAACGCCTATGGAAGATTATGAGCTAGATGGGCTTTCCAGCACATATAATTCAAGTCATCCAGTCGCTCTACCAATACCAAGAAGCAACAGTAAGAGCAGAGAATGGCGACACCGAAAGGTTCACTATTGGTCAAGTTGTCCATCAAGGCTGCAACCTATCACCATAAATTTTCAACATCTATGCTGAATTCATCATGAGAAAGGCATTTTATGGTCAAGTTTCTGTTGGTGGACGAACGATCACCAACCTAAGATACGCCGACAATACAACACTCTCTGGCGTATTAATGGGGAAGGGTATGGGGGGGGGGGGGGGGGGGGTTGGGGACAGTTGAACCCCCAAACAAAATTCAAACTGTTTTTTTTATATATTCGATACCAGTGATTTACAAATGTTGCTGAAATGACATGATTTTCCTAGGTTTTTTCTCACTTTTTAGTAAATCCACAGTCAAGCAAAAAATATGCTTATTTAAAAGCCTACATGTCAGGGTCCGCAGAACAGCGGGGCTCAGGGGACTCGAGCCCCCTCAATTTTTGTATAAAGTATGTTAAAGAGAACTAGAAAGAAAGAAAGTGACCCGAGGTGAAATGAGGTATCAAAATATGTTCATCTTACAGTTAATAAATGCCTGAAACCCTTGAGCGTCCGGGGGCTGTGCCCCTTGAACACCACGCCAATTTGCGCTCCTCTCTTCCTGATCGTAAATACTTCAACCCCCCCACCCCGCTTTAAAAAAAAAGTTCCGCGGGGCCTGCATGTAACATGTATGAGTGGTGGTGATGCAGATTGTTTTTCTGCCCCTCTAAGTGTTTTTGCTCAGTATGCCACTGACAACACTAATAACAAGAACATCAGTAGAACTACTAGAACTCCTTAAAAAAGAGTGAAGGATGCAAGTGAATAATTTGGACCCTACCTCAATGTGAAAAAGACCAAGATCATGATTGGTGGAAATTAACTATATGCAACAGAGCATGGTGGTTGATGGAGAAGAAGTTGATCAAGTGGACAAGTTTATATAATGTTCTTGGGTCAATGATTGTCAAGGAGGGTGGAAGCTCGGTAATCTGCCTTTGAAATGTGGTGTTGGAGGAAGCTACTTGGGATATCATGAAGAGATTACAACACCAATGTACACAATTAATGTCCATCATCGGAGATCAACCGCCACTTGCTACCAGGATTGACAAGTACAAGCTACAATAGTTTGGTCACGTTAGCAGAAGATCAGGAGACAACCTTGACAAATTATCATTCAAGGTACCTTTGAAGAAACACGTAACAAAGGAAGACTCAAGCTCAGATGGACTGACGACCTTAGGGAAATCACTAGCCACCCTCTAAATACTAAAGACACTCTACCGGATTGCAGGAGACAGATGCCGATCAAAAGGTCTCATCAAACGGGTCACAAGGGTGAGCCATGATCTATATGACAACGACGACGACGACGAACAGTAAGAGATAGTTTCTTGGAGGGCAGCAGTGACGCGGGACTCAGTTGGAAGACTCTCGACCCGTTATGACCTCTAAATACTCTCGGATCTGTCAAACACCAAGCAAACATCATCAGATGTTCATCCACAGCAGAGCACAACCATGACTGTACAAGGTTGTTCCAGTGTCTCATGCCTGGCTGACATCTCAACTTTTGTCAAATTCTATAAGTCCGTCTTTGACATGGGAGTGCTCGTTTCCAGAATCATCAAAAAGTGCTGTTGGGACTGGTGAAAGCTCTTATGACAAAATGTCCTTGACATTGACCTCTCTTGAACTTGTCTGCAGTCCTATTACTCTGGAGTAGATCAACTTTTCATAGACTTTCGTACCCCAACATTGACTTCTTCATGGCTGCCACGGTTCATTCTTGGAAATTGTGACATAGAATCCACAAGGTAATTTCTTTTGAAAATCATGCATCTGTCTAGTATAGATGTCAACTGCTTTATCCACATTCACTGACGTTGGAGCAATGCTGGTCTAAATAAAGCCTATTAATTGAATAATAATGTGTGCCGTAAAACCACTTTTCACCGATTTGTTGAAAAATAAATTCTTTCATAGCCATTTTTTTTCTTGACATATGTAGGGTAGGTGAAGGGAATTGGAGACCACCAAGCTTGAACCCATCACTGTCTGTCCGTGTTGGATCCAATATTGATATAGCGACATATGTGGCCTTCAACAACACTACTGCATATATCCAATTCATTTCGAAGACTACAGTGCGTTCTCTCTACGAGAAAATTGGCAAAATTGACCAAGATAAGAAATTTTGATCGTAAAATGTTGCTCTGATAAGTTGCGAAATGTGGTTTTTAAGAAGAAGGAGGAAAATCCCTTGGACTGGCAAAGTTAGTAATGAGGAAGTTCTTAGACGAGCTGGAGTGAAAAGGAAAATGATACGTGAGATGTTGATCAGGCAGTTGAAGTTCTTGGGTCACATTACACGTAAAGGGGAAATTGTGGGAAGAATAAGGTGTAGAGGAAGGAGGGGACACTTTGGATGGACAATCTGCAGAAATTGTTGGAAGAGAGAGAGGAGTAAAAGAACTGGGAGTGGTGCTAATAGAGAGGGCTAGGAACCGAGGGATGTGTAACAGCATGATCTCCAAAGTCAATCGATATGGCACTTAGAGGGATAGAGAGAGGGAATAGATAAATTCAATCCAATTCAATTCAATTTAACAAACAGACCAACAGACCAAACAAAGCAAAATAAATTTGGAGAATGTTAAATAAAATTGTGAAATACTCAAGAAAACAAAGGCAAAATGTAAAACAGAACATATCGCATTACACTCGATGAAAATTAGTACAATAACACCACTTAAGACAGGATATTGGTAATTGAACATAATTATCGATACTTGAACAATTTCCGAGATAAAAACCAAGAATAATAGCCACAGGCCGTAAAGTATTCGTTTCTTGAAATAATAAGATACCTAAGCATGAAATCAATTTGATTGAATCCTCGAGAGCTGAATACCACAGTTCTGTGTTTGTTTTATATTAAGCATCGTCACTTTCTTATCTTATTTTTGTTCACTGATCACGTGATACAATTAACAAACTGATCACATGTCTTAACCGACACTTCATTTCATGTTGCATCTCACGGTGTTTCACAATCTTGACTCATTCGAACTTAAAGCATCTTTGGCTCAGCACGCGTTGCTTTGTGAGGATTGATTCCTGAAATAATAATGCTGAAGAAGCTTGAAAAGGTCGGTTTGATTAGAACAATCTTGAACCAAGTCTGCTGATGAAGGACCTAATGTTAAGCAAGTCTACAAATTGACGAAAAGAACACCGAGTGACAGTCAAGAGCACAGTAAATGTTGTAGGAACTACTGAATGTTCATACCTGCGGATATCTCTCTGATGCAGTCCAGGACTTGGCATATCGACCTTCTTGGGAAGCGAAGAAACACCATCCAGTCAACTCTTGGATCAGCTTGGTTGGCCAAAGGTTTAAATGGTGCTTAAATAACACCACTATAATACACAAGTGGTGATATTCTAGGTATGTGATGCAAATATACTTTCTTAGCAGTCAACTAAAACAAACAAGCACATTTTGAGAAGGCATCAAACACGGTTTCTGCAGCACCCTCAAAGACTGAATCCTTCTACCTTGGATATTTCTCTTTACGACAGACCTGGGCTTCGTTTTAAGAACAAAAAGGCTGACTCGTCGTAATTATTTTTAGGGACCGAGTACTACTTCGATTTTCCTTCATTTTTCTCGCATCAATTCAGTATCAGCGACCTGTCGGTTGGAACTCATGATGGCTGTGTACGCTCACGCAATAAGCTTCGTAGTACTATGTGGATTCACCTTGCAATATGGTGTGGTGATGGATCACACCAGCATAACTCTTAATCATACGTGCTCGGAAAACTCGATGTACCATAGCGCCAATTGCAAATATCGCGGTCTTACATCGGTTCCCCGGAATCTTCCACACGACTTGCGTTCCCTCAAAGTTTCTCATAATAACATTTCTATGCTCCTCGACAAATCGTTCGTGAACTATACACAGCTAGAAACTGTAGACGCTAGTTTTAACTCCATATACCTCATTGAGAATGAAACATTTCATGCTCTCCTGCTACTTAAGGTATTACAGCTCCATCGCAACAGTATCAGTGTCCTACCAGTTTACCTCCTGGAGAAGAATTGTCATCTATCATCGCTAATCCTACATCATAATATACTCAATGGAATTCCTCGCATCTTTGGAAACAATCTGCAAGCTAATCAGTTTGCAGAAGATGGGAAGGACGCATGCGGTTGTAAGAATTTGTCACGTTTTGATTTGTCTGTTAATAAAGTCGGATCACTGGAGCAAGGAGATTTTGTAGCTTTACGGAATTGCTCCTTCGATGGATTCAACTTGAATCATAACGATATAAAGAGTCTCCCTCGTGCCGTTTTCATTGATCTACCAGCAGTACATTTACTCATCAACTATATATCACTGGCTAAATTCCACGCCGAGTCCTTTCTGGGTAATAAAGCAATAGTAAAGGTGACATTAACCAGGTCGGGCATAAGATCTATTGTACCCATGAATACATCGGAAAAACCAAGAGATCTTTTTCCAGGTATAACAAAACTTTATCTATCACGCAACGAATTGATAAGTATTCCAAAGTATGCCCTGGATGGTTTCGAAAAACTCCAGGTACTAGACATTGGATTCAATCATTTATCTAGTCTTCATAACGAGTCATTTTGTGGATTGAAGTCGCTGGTTAATTTGATACTAGCTGCTAACAAAATCAAGTCGCTTCCACGAGGATCTTTTGCTTGCGCCGAAAAGCTTGAGAGCATTGATTTATCACATAATGACATTTCTGTATTAGATCCTCAATGGTTTGACGGAAGCCACAGACTCAGCACTTTGACATTCTATCAAAGCAACATTGATGATATCAAAAATATACCATGGAACGCAACAAATCTTCAAACACTTATCTTGAAAAATAACGACCTTCACTCCGTGAACAAAAAAAAGTTCGTTGGTTTAAAAAATCTAAAATTTCTTGATTTCTCCATGAATAAGTTTCTCGATATATCCGTTGATGCCTTTGAAGAAACCTGTTCTTTAGAAAAGATCATAATGCAAAATTTGGACAAATTCACTATGACTGGTTTGTTCAGAAACATGCATCAACTAGTATTCCTCGATATGTCCTATCTTCATAGTCGCTTAAAAGTTACCTCCTGTTGCCAATTTAGTTATACGTCGGCGCTAAGGACTCTAGACTTATCAAGAACCAAAATCAAAGCCGAAGATCTAGTCCAATTTGAAAGCAATAGATCACTGTTTTCAGGACTGGTTTCGTTGCACACCCTACAACTGCAAAAGAACTTTTTCAATGATTTCCATCTTGTCCCTAATGCATTTACCCCACTTTGGAATCTTCGTAAGCTAAATCTTACTGGCTGTCACATACAACAAATTGACTTGGGGGTATTTAGGAATCTCACGTCACTAACATATCTCTCGTTGGCCGCAAACTTTATTAGAATCATTCCCGAGAAAGCTTTTCAAGATTTACACAATTTACGTACTCTAATTCTAAAATTTAACTCTATTACAGTTATCGAGAAGCAATTATTTTCTGGAACTTCCAGTCTCCAGAATCTATACCTCCATGGTAATCAAATCTCCACGATAGATCCTTTCACATCAATACCACCAAGTCTAAAGCTGTTAACCATTGCGAACAATCCCTTCACATGTACCTGCCAACTTGCGTGGTTTAGGGAATGGCTGGACAAGGTGGATACAACAGTCGATCACAGAAGTGAGATTCGTTGTTCTAGTACTTCCTTCAAATCGCTAAAAAATCAGACTATCTGGTCGTTCCATCCTAAAGATTACTGCGGAGTCAATATCTATCTTATTGTAGGTGTTTCTTTTGCAATCGTGACCGTTCTGACGCTAAGTGTCCTCGTGTACCAAAAGCGATGGTGGCTGAACCACAAACTATTTCTCTTAAAGTTGGCCATCATTGGGTTTCAAGAAATCATTGAAAATCAAGGTCCTGAGGACTACGAGTATCAGCTTAACCTCATGTTCCGTGAAGATGATGAGTGGTGGATCAACGATTGCATGAAGCCATTCCTGCAGGAGAGGATGCCACACCTGGAGCACATCGTGTTTGGGGATAATGGCCTTCATCCAGGGTCTTTCTACTTAAACGCCATCTATGACGTCATTGAGAACAGCTACAAGACGGTCTTGTTGCTTAGCAACCAGTCAGTGGAGGATACCTGGTTCATGACCAAACTCCGTATGGCCGTGGAGCATATGAATGACACCAAGTTGGAGAAGGTCATCCTCATATTCTTAGAAGACATCGATGGTGACCACCTACCGTACCTTGTAAGGCTGTTGCTGAGTCGGAACAAACCTTATTTGCTGTGGGTGGATGATGATGCAGATGGACAAGAACTCTTCTGGGCAAAGTTTGAGAAGAGCATGAGAGCTAACAGGGAAATGAATAATGTCATTCCAGTTTAGTAACAGATCAAACAAACGTGTCTTCTTACACTTGTATGGAAGATCGCGTGTCATGGCGTGTGGTTGTAACTGGACGTGCGTTGTATATAAACATGTAGGCTGATCCGATTTGACATTCGTCTTGACAATTATGTTTGTCTCATTTAAATTTAGTTCATTTCAAAACTGTGAAAATGCATGTAAGTTTTTCTACAAGGAGGTATTGCAAAGAGCTCACACTTCACCCCCCCCCCCCCTCAAGATGATATTTTATTTTTGGAGATGAAATAGTTTGTACTTTGTCAGAATACAAAAGGAACTAGTAGGCTACCACTTCTGAGAAGAGAAAAAACTCCCTAGAGAGAGAGAGAGAAAGATTATTATTATTAAAAAAGAAACAAAGAAAGACTGATGGGATAAAGGGCTGGGTGGCTGCTTCTTTCAAGTGTATTTAGTTGAATATTGAATATCACACAAAACCTTCCAAGGTCTCCCATTTTGTAGAGTAAATTGAAAGTATCAAAGCATATCGATGTACAGTCAACGCATGTTTGTGGGGGCAGTGGAATTTCGAAACACATATTCCAGTGTCTGGTTCGTGCCCTTTCAACTTTTTGTTGAAATATTAAATTGTTCATGGTTTGTGTGTGACCTCAAATTCGCAGTGGGTCAGGTATAATCACTTCATGTTTCTAAAAAGATAATGTATATTGATTCGTAATCGGGATGAGAATTCTCTATTGTTAACAAAGTTACAAGAGGAAGAGAAGGATATTATTTTGGGTCTAATATGGATATGGTAATAATATGTATGATCTACTATTGAACAGAATTAATGAAACATGCTGTCAAGATAAAATTCGACATGAAAGCCTATTAACATTTATTCATCAAACGTTCTTTGGCTCAGTGGTAGAGCAGTGGACTCGTAACCGGGAGGCCCCGGTTTCGAAACCAAATCGATGCGTTAATGATCTTTGGTAAGGCATTAATCCTCACTACCAAGTCTCTCGGACAGGACTATAGTTGTCTGTCCCCTGGTTGCTTATTACCAAACAAACACATGTCTACTTTGCAGTCAGGTAAAATAAACCATCAAACCAACCACCTTTATGCGTTTTTCGTATACTTTCGTGTTGAAGGATGACACTAAAGGCGTATTTAACATTATGAACTATGATAACAGTGCAGTTCTTGATTTATGTCATTAAATTATCCGTTATGTTGATGTTTATAAACACAATTTATGACCTATTAAAAGATTTCGATACCTTTCAACTCAAGTAAACATCTGATACAAATGTTGTCTTTGGAATTATTATAATTTTTGATTTATGATATTTATAGTCGTTTAATTAATACTGTAATCGAAAGTCATGCAAAATGCGTTTTAATGGGACTTTCTGTATCTTTCGAAACCATAGATCAATGGTCACTGACTATGTTAATGGATGTTTATCTTATAAATTGTTTAGGAGCTATTCACATCAACTTGTAAATAATTAACATAAATTTCTCTTTATGAACCCATACTCCGTGGAATAGTATATAATGACTGCTATGAGAGACATAGTTGTTTTTATACGCTTAAGGGGGGGGGGGGGGTTACATCGTGCTATCGTCCCGAGGTGTGCCTCGAATATTAAAGCAGTCATTATAACTTGTATATAGCGAAAAGGGTCATAGAATACATGTGCGACTTACCAATCATGGTAATCAAGTTTGTTTACGCTATCAAGACCTAGTCTTAAGAGGGTGTCTGATCGCGCCACTCGAGTTTGTGTGCTTAAATCTGCGCTGTGTTTGTAGCAACCAAATTAATCGCACAAAAAATGTATGGTAGTCGCGCACAAACTCCGCACAAACTAAGTTAATTAACACGTAAACCAAAGGGGATCGCAGTACTCATACCCGCCTACCAGTCAATGGTCTTTTGAAAAGGGCGCTTTTCAAAAGACTATTAACTGGTAGGCGGGGCATGGCTAAAATCACGACTCCAAATTAGGCCAATCTGATGGCTAGATTTCTGAAGTGAGGTATATAACGTGCACTAAGTGAGAGTTCATCAAGGATTATAACTCCTTGATGTCATAGGGTGTGTGGGGGAGGGGGCAAAGCTTTTACTCGTAGTCGATGGATGAAGTGCGAGAGTTCATGGCCATCAAATGACCGAGTTTTTAATGTTACTATCTATCTTTCTCTCTCTCTCTCTCTCTCTCCCTCGCTCGACCATACAGCCTCTCTCTCTCTCTCTCTCTCTCTCTTGCTCACCACCACCCCTCTCCCCCTCTCCCTCTATCACTCACCTTCCCCTTTCTCTCTCTCTCTCTCTCTCTCTTACCCCTTTATGATTTGTAATGGGAGGGGCGGTGGCGTCCAATCGCAGCAACTCCACTGAAATCATATCAAAAGTATTAGTATAGTTTATTTCAGGGAACTTGATGTGAGTGAAGCAAGTGCATCTTGCATAAACAATTTATTTGTATCATATGATATTAAGGAACAGATCAAATTAATTGACTTCACATGAGAAAGATTCTTTTCAAATGAAATTTCTTGCAATGTAGACACCCAATGAAATTTCAGATAGTTTATTTCGATGACAAAATTTGTTGTATACAAAATTATGTCGTTTTCAATCTCTATTTTGTGCAATAAGAAATTAAGTCATGAACTTAACATTTTAACATAAAATGTCACCTGTACTTGTATTGCACTAATATTCGTCTTGTTGTATATACTTCTATTCCGTGTTTGTTTGACGGTACAATATGTTGAATATCTATCTGTTAATTATAATTACTATTTTTTCGGTCAAAGGAACATAATAAAATTTCAGTACGAAACAGATGATGTTTTTAGTAATGTGTAATTTGAAGATATGCATTAGACTTTGAACAAAGAGAAAGAGAGATATATAGCAATGTGAATGCAGACAAAACTGGGAGAGTCGGAGGGAAAGAAGAAAGATGAAAAGCGACGCAAAGAGTAGGGATCGTGTGGACATTAGAGAGAGAGAGAGAGAGAGAGAGAGGCGGAGCAGGGGCGGATCCAGCCGGCGGCAGGGGAGGGGGCCCAATTCGTGAAGAAATATTTAGCGGCGAAACAGCCGGCCGATAATTCGCTCAGTGGGGGGCACTCATTTTTTCTTTTTTTTTTGTGCCCGAAAATTTGAAAATCGCACCCCCCCCCCCTTGAGCACTAGGAGAGGGGACCCGTATAAAAAAAAGGTAAAATTTTACACGTTTTTCCCCAGGGGGGGGGGGGGGGGCGGGCCCCGGTCCCCTGGATCCTCCACTAGGGGAGGGAAGGGGTCACTGAGAGCCCTTGAATATACTGTCCTTGGACCGAGACTACAATAAAGGTGCGTTAAAAACTCGACTACGATCACTTAGCGAATGTGTGTCTTGTTTGGAAGAAATGTACATGTATGAGAATTTTATTTATTTTTTTTTTTTTTTAATAATAAATCTTTTTTATTTACCTGTTCTATTCCTGATTTGCTGTGCTTATTCTACCCTCATTTCAAAGAAGGATATGAGACGGCGATAGGAACTGTCTATACTAAGTTGATAACAGCGATGTGTTTTGGCTGTTTTTCCTAATTACATATGACCATGTGTTATAATTAGAGCATAAAGGTGTTTCTGAGCTTACAATTACAATATCAACTACTACTCAAATTGCGTACGCACAATGTTCACATTCATACCGAAACATTAGCTGCCACACACAAATCAAAACACTTTTCATGTAAAATAGTAACCTCAAAACTTTTAGGATATTGTTTTATATGCATTTTCTTTTAAAATGTACCATACGGATACACGTATGTTTATAATATGTGTCTATAAATGTAGGTATAACCCTTAAAGCTTAACACCTGATCATCACCTTTGCTAAAAACTTGCACACACAACAAAATTATAGTTCCTATTTTAGAAATGTAATTGGGTAGTGTTTTGGCATGAATACCGATCCATCTGAAAGACAATAACGATGATGTATTTATCTAATCGTTTAGATCGATTTTGGAAAACTCCTCGCCCATCTCCTGAAAGTCTGGATCTACGTCACTGGGTTCCAGTAGCTCCAGCCAATAGGAGAGCTTCTTAGGTTTGGTCCAGCTTTCATTGTCAAACTTTGCTGCATCTGAAAACAACATCGACAAAAGAGAAGCATATGAGCATGTTAAAACAATGGAAGGAGAGACACGCTCTAAAGTAGATTAGTTTGACTTTGGCAGGGAGATGGGTTTTCTGTTTATTTTTATATCATATTTCACATTTATCGTTACACAGTGTCAGCAATTCTTTCTCGATTTGTGCATATCTAGTCTCTGCATCAGTCATTGATCTAGATGCATATGCGATCGGAACCCAATCTTGATCATATTGCTGTAGTAGCACTGCACCAATACCATCCTTGGATGCGTCTGCTGACAGCTTGGTTGGTTTCTTGCATTCATAGAAATGTAGGACTGGCTCTTGTATCAGAGTTTGCTTCAGCTGATTCCATGCATCCTCTTGTGCATGGTCCCATGTCCATACATTCTTTTTGTCTAGTAGATGTCTCAGCGCTGCTGACTTGGTCGACAGATCTGGAATGAACTTCCCTTGGTAATTGATCATACCCAAGAACCGTTGGACATCTTTCCGACATTTCGGTCTCTCAATGTTCAAGATAGCAGACACTTTCTTTGGATCAGGTTGAACTCCTTGATCACTGATCAAGTCACCAATGAATGTGAGCTTCTTGACATTGAACTCGCATTTGTCTTTGTCCAACTTGAGATTCATTTTTCTCACAATGCTGAGAACCTCTCTCAACCTGTCATCATGCTCCTGTTGGGTAGTTCCCCATACAATCACATCATCCATCATTGTGTTAACTCCCGGAATGTGTGCAAACAGTTGGTGCACTATCTTGTGATAGACTTCCGGAGCACTACAAATACCAAAAGGTAGTCTCAAGAACTTGTACCTTCCGTATGGCGTGATAAACGTACAAAGTTTGGAGCTGTCGTCATCTAGTTGGATCTGCCAAAAACCATTAGATGCATCTAACTTGCTGAAGTATTTGGCTCCTGCAAAATGTGCAGTTATTTCAGCTCTTGATGGCAATTGATAGTGTTCTCTTTTGATTGCTCGGTTCAGGTCTCTTGGATCTAGACAGAACCTGAGCTGACCATTCTTTTTCATCACCACCACGAGAGAAGAAACCCAATCAGTTGGCTCATCAACTCGTGTGATTACGTCCATTCGTTCCATCTTATCTAACGCATCTTTGAGTTTATCTTGAAGTGGAAATGGAACTTTGCGACATGCATGCTGAACAGGATGTGCGTCCTCTCTCAATGTGATGTGGTGTTTACCAGGAAGACAACCTAGACCTACAAACACATCTTGATAGTCTTGAACTACACTTTAACCCGTTACTTGTTCAGTTTGTTTCTCAACATGGTACACCCGTTTCACCAGATACAAGTCTTCACTTGTCTGTAATCCTAACAAAGGCTGACGATTTCCAGGAATGACTAGACACGGCACATTGCGTTTGATCCCTTTGTACTCAACTTGTACACAACAACGACCTTTGACCGGGATATCTGTCTCATAATAGGGACTTTTAGATTCGCACGAAGACAATATGTCTATGCTACGATCGACGTCCTTTTAAAGCACTGCCGTGAATGGAAGTACCACGTATCAGTCCACGCAAATCTAAAAGTCCCTATAAACCTGTCAACATCACTTTGGCTTTTTGTAGCTTTGGTTTTGGTTTCAATTTGTGAAATACTGTCTCAGGAAGAAGATTCACCTGAGCACCAGTATCAACCTTGAAGTCAACCCGCTGGTTATTGAGTAGTAGATTAACTATGCATTCATCCTTGGATTCTTTTGATTCAACAGAGCAAATCATGAAACCTTCTGAATCTACCTCCAAGTGCTGCAGTTAATTGACCTTGGCTACTGGGGTTTTACAACATTTAGCAAAGTGATTTTGCTTACTGCACTTCTTGCATGTTTGACCTTGTGTTTTTGCTATGTCGGTTTCCGCACCTGCTACATGCATCACTTTCATTACGACCTTGAGGTTCTGACCGTTTTGACTTTGAACCAGGAAATTTCTTCTTAGTCTTGCTGAAATAATCTACCGGAATTGAGGCGTTTTCCCCTGCGGAACTCAACGCTTGTGCCTGCGTTCGAGTTTGTTCAGCCGCACGACATACTTGCAACGTTTTATCCCATATAAGATCATCTTGCCTCAACAAACGTTCTCTTAGACCATCGTCTAAAATACCACAGATAATTCTGTCCTGGATAAGATTCTCTTTCAACATGGAAAACTCACATGACTGAGCACGACTCCGCAATTCTGTTGCGTACTGATCTACGTCTCTCATACGTTAGATTACGTTTCGGCATGCAATATTCCTCATATTTGTTCAACACTTTCTCAAGCTTCATGCTCTCACCCTCAGCAAATACAAACGTATTATACAATTCCAAGGCAGCATCGCCAATCACGTGTGGAAGCATTGATGTTTGGAACTTTTCATCTTGTTCAGACATTCCTGAGGCAACATTGTATAGAGTGAATTTCTGTTTAAATCTTCTCCAGTTCTCGGAAATATTTCCCTTTAAGTCGAGTGGAGGAGGTTGACTGAGATTT